TCCTGAACATCCTGGCGCATAATTCGTTTGCGCTAACTCCCCTCTCTAATGAACTTAGGCTCCCTGTGCAGATTTACATACGCGCTCGTTGCCGACGTAATACGCTCCGGAGCCCGGCTTTGGCGGGAGCCCACGGGGAGAGTCCCGAAAATACCTTCATCCCTCTGAAAAAGAACTGCCGCGACCTCTTCCTCGTAACCGACTCTTTGTGCGAAGATTTCTCCAAAATTACCGAGCACTCGCGACTCGCCTTTTACCTTGAAAACTGGGTCTCCCAAATGTAGAGCTGCCAAAATGTTTTTCAGTGTTTCTTTACGTTTCCTTTTAATCTAATCGAGGGCCTGCCGACTCTCGGTTCAGGCTTGCACTTTGTTAGATCGACTTATCGCCCGCACCTTCGCTCCGCTTTTGCGGGAAAAGCCTCCAGTGGGATATCGAATTTCATTTTCCTGCCGCGAGGATAATCGCTCTTTGGAAAATATCCCAGAATCCGCCGGAAGTACGCCGGTTCCGAGGGAAATCCGACGCGAGCCCAGTTCCTCGACGTCGTCATCGTCTTCCAGGCAAGAACGCCTCGGAAATGTTGCACTGCCTGCTCTCCTTCTGTATCGGTGTTGTCATCCGGAATATCTACCACGTACCGAAGTACTTCCATCCGAAGTAGTTCCACCCTCCCCCCGTACCCTCCTCTCGGTTTATTCGATACCGCATTTCTACCGTAGGAATTTCAGATTTCGATTTTGATATCTCGTATAATACGACGTGGGTACGTGTATTAAATGAGGCCAGCACTCAGATTGAAGGATTGGGCAGGAAGGAAGGAAGGAAGGAACCTTATCATCCCCTCTCCCCGTTCTCTCCCCCGAAAAGATTCGAAAATATTTAAATAGTACAACTACGGTTTAACATTTAATTCTTTTCCTTTTTTAAATATGACAATTACGTAAAGGATGAAGAACAAAAATGGAGGCACCTATTCGTTAAGTGTACGTACTGTCGTGTCGCGCGCGACAACCTCTTTGCGGTTTGAACGAGCAATATCTAATGCGAAGTTTCAAATGACCATAAGGTGGAGGTGTCGAAAGCGTAACATAAACCGTGGACTCATGAGGAGTTTTTCAAAGTTTGGATGGAGCTCAGCGCGTATATCGTGCATGTAAATAAAGCAAAGTTTTCATGACAAACCATATGCAGTACGTGTGAAGAGCTACAAGCACTAGAAACTTTTAAGAAGTTTGCACCGCGGCCATTTTAGTTACGGCCCAAGGTGGGAGAATGCATTACTGTCGTCTGCGAAAAGTTTCACTTTTCCCCCAGCGAGTTTGGCGATCCGGGCGATGCCCCTGAGAAAATCGTCTAGCATGCATCAATTAGGGCTAAAATACGTAACTTGATAAAACCAGAGAGAATATTCCACGAGGGGGGAAAAAAAATATATATTTTTCCTAATTAAATTAGAGAATTCCGCCTTTCCTTTCCCGGCCTTCCTCGGGGTAAATGTTTCAGATCGATGCACGGGGCCAGGAGGGCGGAAGAAAGGCTCGAAAATTATTTATAAAAACAGGACAGGCTAATATTTTATGTCAGCGGAGATGAGAATGTAGTGCTCGGGCTCTCTCTCTCCAGTTTTGGCGCCCATCCTGGAACCAACTCCTGCCGAATAGGCGAGGGTGCGGAGCACACACGAGGGGTCGGAAAAGATGATTCATCATGGCGAGCTTTACTCTCCGGGGCCCGGGGACCCTCACAGGGAGTTCTTGTTTATTACTTGATAAATAGAGAATCTTTCCGGCGGAGATGCACGGTTCTTTAAGGCGACCTCATCCCATGGTAATTAGCGTCAACCTGCTCCGCCCTACCCCCTCTATTTTTTTATACTTTTTTCTCAGGACTAGGCTGGGGAACGGCCATTGAGGGTCACCGACACCTTCCCAGCATCCAAACTGGATCATCTGGGTGTATTGACAAACATTGACTCATCGGCGAGATCTCATTTGTTCCTCGAGACTGATCCATCTGCGCCATCGGCGCGTTACTCGTGCGTTCGGCCCTCGCATTTTGCATACCATCTCAATCGCACTCGACATCTGAATAGCACGCGTGGTTCCAATGGTACCCGGCTACCGTCAACAAAGGATCTCGTCGATGTCAATATCGTCAGTAGGCATACTGCCTCGGTGCCTCTTCCACGGGCGCGCAAAGGCAGAACTCACGCCGGCTATTTGGCCCCCTCGATTTTTCACCCCGGGAGAAATAATATTTTTCTACTCGCAAAATGAGGCGCACGCTCATCTTCCGAACTCTCCTCGACCGACCTAATAGCTCCCGTGCAAGAAAAAATCCTTGAAGAAAGTCTCAACCCCGTCAATGCAGATCAAAGCAGATTCCAAGTACCCGACCCGATCACCCGATCAATGGCGAGTATTAAAATCCAGAAATTGGTTTTTACCATGATCTACACGTTCAGGGGTACGTGAAAAACTCTCGACCGTGAAATAAAAAAATAATCCTGGGCAGTAGTTTCGTTTTCTATTTTATTTTCTCCACCCTCGTTCCCGCGCTCGACGATGAACATCCTCGAGTTGCCTCGTCGTCGTTGGATCCTGCAATTCGGAATTCAGTTTCGGCATAATCTACGCGCCTTGTACAATTTCCTGAAACCTCTTGTAACCCGAGAAACTTTGAAATGATTTACACACAATTTTCGACGAGGAGCTCCGACCGCGACGTCCGGCTTTACCTTTATTTAACGCTCCCCGCGTTTTTCCGAATCAACCGAGCGACCCCGTGGGCAAATGTTTGCTCGGAGGGTTTTCGATCCACCTTGTATTAATACGATCGTGCGCGGGCAGGAACGAGCGGAGGATTCCATTGCGGATATTAATCGAGTGATTAGCATTCACTGAGGGGATTCGAGATTCCACGCTATCAATCGGCCAAATCGTGGCTCAGCATCGATTCAACACCGGAGAGCCTCGGCTTAAACTGAAATCGCCGGGGTAGTATCCGCAACGCGTACCGCACCTTCGATTCCCATTCCGTCCTGATGGGAGACCCCGACGAAAGAACGCGAGACCATTCCAGGTTTCCAAATCGAGTGTCACGGAAAGATCCTCGAAAGTCCACTCCCGAACCCTAGTAATCGTGAGCGGGATACACTTAGCCGAAGAGAAATGGCTTCCCCTCGAATCGGTTGAGAAAAGAACCGTAGAAAAATTAAAAAAAAATACGATTTTCACATTTTTCCTCTCCAATCAAGATTTCACGCGATTTCCCACTGTATCCGTTGAGGACCAGCAGAAAAAAAAGATTCCCAAGAAATAAACTTTCGAAATTTTTCCTCCTCGATCAAGATTTCCCGATAGAAATTCCCCTCCACGTGGAAGGCCAGGCGGGACTTCTGGTACCGAGAATTATAGATAATAAATAGAAATGATTTAAATATAATTAGAGTGGCAGTTCAGCCGTCCTCTCGATCAGCGGCCTTCGTAGATTTCTCGACGTTCAACGAACCCGATGAGAAACCGATTCTCGTTAAACTTTCATCGGGATTTCTAATACTATTTACAGAGAGGAAAGTGTCGACGAGATGGGATTTTTAAAAATAATTCGAGGTTATGGGAGAGGCTCTTATAGGTTGCCCGTAACCTCTTCGTGCACCTGGTTAGCACGGTAGGTGATGGCTATGATCTCAAGGTCGATGGAAGGTATTAATACGGTATTAATAGCACGTGGTGACGGGTGGTGGGCGAAGGCTTCTACGAAGCTATCCTGGTCTCGGCGGTGTTGCGCCGCTTGTCGGCCCCTCCACGCACTCTCTCCCTGAGAAAGCAAGACCGGAGTCGAAAGGAAAGCATCCGGAGCCCATCGGACTCGCGTAGACCGCGGGCTCGTCCTTCGTCTTCCCCGGATGGAGCGGCCTTAACCGTTCGGTGCCCCCGGCCCGGCGGGGCCGAGAAAAAGGAGCGCGACGGCTCCTCGGTAGGGTCGCAGCAGGTTCTCATATACAGGAACGTTAAAGGCTGCGAGAGGGGCAGAGCCCGAGGGACTCGGAAGATATCTCTTTCGCGACCGAGGAAAGAGGCCTTAAACCTCTCGCCGTCGCCCTCCGAAGAGCGTAGAGACGAAGAGGTCGCGAAATGGCGCAAGAGAGAGAGAGCGCCGATATGATCGGCTGCCGAGACCCAGGAAGAGGGAGAGAGAAAAATCTACAGGGTGTCGCCTAGTTTAAAACCAGCCAATACATCCCATCCTTTCACAAAACCTCCCCAAAGATCGTAGAAACATTTATTCCATCTCTACATAAATTTATAATTTTATAAACGATACGCGAGTTATACATTTTAGCGGAGGTTAAAAAATGAATGCGTCGCGCATGAAGCTTCCGTCGAGGATGCGAATTCCAGGGTATATTTTGTTGCAACGTGGGTGTCCAGGATCGGTGAGAAATTCAAGGTCGCTGTGATTTCCAGACCCGGGAAGCGTGGCTCCATCTGGAAAGAGACTCGTTAGAAAGGTCCCTCGTTAAATCCGAGATCGTGACGGGGCAGAGATATTCGGGCGCTCGATGAGCACCCGTGCCGGGAGAGGAGAGCCGGCTCATCGATGACCGTTCGGTCGGCGGTCGTGCCGAAGAAGCAGAAGAAGCGCGCCTTCCCCTCCCTCGGCGAGAGCTCCTTGAATCCGTCGGATCCGGTGGACCGCTGGAGCCGAGCCTGATGACGAGGCTTGCGCCAGTTCCCCCGCCCGTTGCAGCCGCCCCTCCCCGCACGCTGCTCGATTTGTGCGCCTGCCCGACCCCCCTCCAGCGGGCGCCACGCGACCCCTACCCCCACCACCGCGCGAGCGTGTGTCGCTCCTGGTAGCCTGGTGCGCGAGCCCCGCTGGAGGGGGTAGGGGCGCGTGTGGCGCGCGTGGAGGGGAGGGCGCGCCGCGGGTGGGGGGCGTCGGAGCGGGTGTCGGAGTCGCGCCAGTAGTTCTGAAAGAGCAGCGCTCGGGACCTGCCGGGTTGGGTACGTACCGCAGAACCGCTCCGAGTGCGTGCGACCTTGCCCAGCGCGAGCCGCCCGCCGGCCAGCCCACGCAGACCCGGTTTGGATCCAGGCCTCGGCGCGTCCGGGGTTCGGTGACCCCGCGGGACTCCCGGGATCATCCGCGAGAAGCGTGCCCGGGTCGACTCGCCGGCGAGCTGGGTATCGGAGCCGCGGACCCGTGGCGCAGGGTGCTGGTCTTCGAGGTCGCCGGTGGACTGCGCTCGGGGTCCGCTCGGTGACCGGAGGCACCTCCAGCACGCAAAATCCGGAACTTGGTTCTGGGGGACTTCAATACCACTCGTGGATCCGGGGCCAAACGGCGACCGGTCCACTCGACACCCGGGTGAAGGTACCGCAGGCTGTTGATTCTGCGGGATCGTCGGACCGGTTCTCAGGCGGACGCTGCACCGGTCCCCGAGCTCGAGTGGAGACGCCGATGGAGTGGTGACTCGGTGGTTCGAAAGTGCCCCGAACCCGGCACCAGTCCATGTCGCCTCGGTAGTGCCGGTGCCGATCCAGCGTGGTCCAGTGGAAATCGGTGCGAGTCCCCGCGAATCTGTGTGAACGGGTGCGTTCGGTGCGACACGGACACCCGGGATCCGGGTCGCATCCGTTGGTAATTGGATACCCCCGACGCCACGGTGCCCCATCGGCGCGACAAGTGCCGAGCTGCATCCTGTGGACCCGTATGACCAGGTATCCGTACCTGCCGGGACCCTAACGGTGATCTAAGTCCGTTCGTTGTCTCGAGCGAGGGTCCATCTCTTATAGGCAGGGAAGATCCTGAAGGATGATCGTCAGGAGTGCCTCCGCCTTATGACTCGGGCGGATTCCGCGTCTGCGGTGTTGGTGCGGACCCTATAGTCGGAAGATGCCTCGCGCCTCTTAGCGGGCAGCCGTGAAATATGTTAGCACGCAGCATCCCAAGTTTCCGTGACATGACGAAGAGATAGTGCTAGGTGCCAGCCGGAGCGAGCGAGCGAGACCGAGCAAAGGATTTCGGAAGACGCGAAAGACCGACCATGCCGGGGCTGAGAACGAGGGGGTTGCGACTCCTGGCCGAGACCGTGGCCAAGGGGCCGTTTGTCGGCGACAACACCAGGTAAGGTTTCACGATCTCCCTAGATCTAGACTACATCCGATGCCCTCGGGACGCTGCACCGTCCAGCATCCCGGGGTGTCCGGGCACCCGATGTTCCTTTCGGATTGAACCCATGTCTTCGATCCTGGGGCGGAAGGAGGCCCGTGTCCCTGCTGGGGTTCGTCCTCGTGTTGACTGGAAAGCGCTAGCGCTACCACGCGAGGCTGGACATTGGATTAAGCCGCACTCCGGGAAATGACATTAAGGGCTTCGCTTTAGCTAAACCATTGTAAAGCCACGTCTGTCCGCCGATGTGATTAGAGCGGTGGGCGCGAAGAGCCGCGTGCCTCCTAATTAAATCCCGTTCTCTAAATGAACACCTCGTGGATTTCCTGGAGAGAGGGCACTTGGCGAATGAGACGTCGCACCTGTTCCAAAGGTTTCTCTCGTGGACCCCTTTGCGTCCCCTGCGACGACGCGGAATCACTGGAGCCCCACTGCCACAGGATGCTAGATGTAGCCCCGGGTTTTACACGCGTCCGGATTTGCATAGGGTGGGAAGGGACGGCGGGACCACCCCGTAACCGGGGGGTGGTTCGTCGCACCGATGCCCGATGCGGTGGAGCGAGTTTGGGGTGGTTCGATGCGTTTTTGATCAGCACCACGTGGTGCATGGGCCCCGAATTTGGGACGCGTCGACATGATTTTCTGCGGTCCGATGACGACTGGCCAAATATTTAATGGGGCGGTCGTCGCTCGACTCTGGCCTTCATTCAGCAATCCCGAAAGTAGGATGCGGACGTGTGGTGGAGGCGCGCGCTAAACGAGGTTGCGTTACGTTCGATATGTATCGGGTTTACATTCAGTGGTGCGTGATCGCGTCGGCCGTGGTTCTCATTAGCGACCACCCTGTGCGGTGCGTCCAATCGAAGGTAGCTTTTGGTCCCCATTGGTAGGTCGCGTTGGTAGTATCGGTTGATGGGGAAGTCAGGGTGCACCGTAGTTTAGACGCCAATGCACTGGAGAGCGCGACCGCTCGATGGTTTTCATCTATCCTGGTCCTTGGAGGAGTCCCCTCGAGGGTGTCTCTCAGGGTGGTGGAGTCTTCTCGAGTGGAGTCAGGTGCAGCTGGGAGCTTAATTCTCGGGATTCGAGGGGGGCGGTATTAAAACGCTCGTCGACGTCGGGTTCGTTTACCCTGGTGGGCCGGGGCCAAGACTCGGCAGGACAGTCGCTAACGAATTAAAACTTGCCTGAGAAACGGCTTAAACTTCTTTCCCCCGGCCGAGGAAAGAGCAACCGGCACGGCGGGCGGAACTTCAAAGTCCCGCCGGATGAAACGGCACTTCCGGAAGCGGTTCGAGTCGCGCGCGACTTGTAAAGGGCTAAATACGCGGGGGAGAATGACGATGATTAACCTTTTATACCCCGACGTCCCGTCCGCGACGCCCGGCCGGATAATAGTCGCCCTGGTGATTCAGAATTACTCCTCCTTCAGAGATTCGCCCTGCGAAGTCGCTGCCCTACCCTGTACAGCGACGACGTTCAAAAGATAGGAAAAATCGATCCAGGACTTCTTGATTAAAATGGGCACACATCTCTTCCGACTCGTGACTCTGGAACTCGCTTTCCACCCTTTTACCCAGTGGAGGTCCTCGCCAGCACCTTTCACACGGTGTCCCGAAGTGGAGCCCCGAATGCACGGGCAACGTCGTTGGTGCTGGGAAAGACTCCAACTCCAAAAGGGTTGACATTAACTCCTGCCGGAGAAGAATCCCATTTCTTTTTCCTCGCCAGCAGTCCATGGCTCCCCGTGGTCGGACCATGAGAAACGTTGCGATGGACCCTGTTTTTCCGCATCCGCCCTTGGTTGGGGCTCTTTCATCGTGTCCGCCCAGCTCTACCCGGCGCGCTTTCGGCGGTGCGTTGCGTTGGAGGCGGAAAGAAAAACCGGCAAAAAAAGTGGACGCCCCGCTTCTCGAATCTCGTGTCCTGTCTCGTTCGAGGTTCAGCGCCACTCGCACGATGATTAACGGCCAATAATTATCGCCGGGTGCGGTGTCGAGCGTTCGTTATATCGGCGGTACCATTTCTGCGCGGGGGTCAGGAAGTGGAAGGAAAGACCGGCTCTGAAATCAGCCTGAAGGCAGCTGTTTGTTCCCTGGGATGACTAGGCTGAGAGCTTACCGACTGACAGAGGACGCTTAAGTAGCCGGCGTGTGCACCTAGCGGGCACGAGTGGCGCGCAAGGGGTGCGGGTGGACGCACAGGGGCGAGTGCAAGTGCAAGTGAATGCATTGCCGAGCAGGCGATGGGCACGGCCGTACGGTAGCTGCGGAGGGGCCGGGACCGAGGCCACGTAGGACTCGCAGGGTTGGCAGCCCCGATCGATTCGCTAAAAGTAAATAAAATTCGCCCCCACGCCACCCTCTCGGTCGTACGTGCCGTTGGCGCCGGCGGCGGTAATGAAATAATTTCCAGACGACCGAGAGCGGGATACGGAGGGCCTGGCTGGGTAATTCGACCATTGGCCCCCGTTAAGTCGGTCACGGTCGGTGGTGGCGCCGCGACGCACCCTCTGGCGGCGTCTTTTCGCTGGCCCGGAGGAGGTCTTTAGCACCCCCGACTCGACTCGGTCCGGCTTTCAGCGGGATTGGATGCCCGGTCCTCGTTTTGGATCCTCGCGGTGCGGCCGTCTTTGGGCGGAGTGGCCGCATTCACGGGGCGGACGTCGAGCGTTGAGTGTCCACCAGAACCGAACCGGCAGGGCAAAGTTAAATGGGTCAGCAGGAAGGCTTTTACTTTCCTCCGCGGCGAGACCGTGGTCCTGGCCTCTCGGCATTCTTCCCTCCTGGGGGTCCTTTACATTTGCATCATCCGTGGTCGATCGGGTAGCCCAGACGAGTGCAGTTTTAACGAGTGCCGCCCCGCCGGGTGGCCACTTCCTTCCCCGACCTCGAAGGATCCCGCCCTAACGAGCGGATCCGCACGCGAGAGTGGGCGACAAAGTCGCCCAGGGATTGGATAACCTCAACTCGTTTCCGCTTTCTTTAGCCCGGCGTCGATCGTTCCCCTGATTGTCGACCCGCTCGTGCAGGTGCACGGTTTCCTGCCCCCTTTTCTCTTTTTCGCCCCACATAGCTCGGATTCATCCCGAGGTGAAGACGTCCAACGACCACCCTGTGTGGGGTACGATGTCGCGATGCATGGTGGGTCTCGCACGCGAACAGGATGTATGTGTGTGTGGGTGGGTGTGGCTGGATGACGCGTTCAAATTTGGCACAGCCGCATCGGTGGGTGGTAATTCGTTGTCTTGGCAGGGAACTCAAAGAACTCTATCGCAATCAAAAAGTTTACGTATACGGGATACAGAAACAACAAATTAACCCGTTGCGCGTACCCATGGGCAGTTAGTCGCATCGAATTTGGCCCCACCAGCTCCCCGCTGTGGAAGCGTCCAATTCGAACCCGACCTCCAGCAGTTCCGACTACTGTCCGAGGGCAACAGCCTCGTTACCGGGCCTTTAGGCACCGTTACGGTCGAATCGGACTAGGAAAGGCGTCGAAATGGGAAGCGTCACGCGAGAGTCGATCGTCGCCATCGACGAGCGACTTGTCCATCCTCGACGATTGGTCGGCAGACCTCCGAATGACTCCTGGGTCCGGCGGCCTCTTTATCCCGCCGGCGACTTCTGTCGGCGCCATTAAGGAAGAATTTCACGCTAACGAGCAGGTTGATTTAGCCCCAATCTCCCCGGGATTGGATAACCCGAGTCTCGTTTCCGCTTTTTTTCCCCTCCTTTTTCGCTCCCGGCGTTTATCGCCGTCCGGAGGTCGCGATCGAGCGGCGTCCTCGCGGCGTCGCCGGGTCCAGTCTAGACGCCTTTATCCCCGGTCCCTCGACGAATCGTCGCATCAGGGATCGTTAGCACCGGCTATCGAGTAATTTGCACGCGGTGCCGTAATTTCGCGAGCAATTTCCCCGGGCGAAAACTACCCCTGGAGCCGACGGTCCTCGCCGTTTTTCAGGGAGCCTCTGGATCGCCGTGGTCCCGCCGATCAGACGACGACCCCGCTAGTGCTGATGAATCGATTGCTCTGACGGCGATACGGAACTATGTCGCAAGATTTGCGTCAGCTGGCGAGCTGACTTATTCATACGGCGTAAATCCGACGTAAAACCCGCGACGCGGGGCGAATTGGCGCAGTCTTTGCTCCGCCGGAGTAACGACCTCGGCCAGCTCTATACTCTGCAGTAGGCGCTTTTCATTGTAATTACTCCCATCGATTGCGACTAAAAACACCAACGTCTTCACGAGTGGCCGTATCCATCAAAGAAGAGTTATCGGAACTTAACCTAATCGACGATTCGACGGACCGTGAAGACCCTCGAGGTGGACCTCGTATCAAAGCTCGACCTGACCACCGCTCCAATTTCTGTCGCGACATCGTCGGGACAAGGAGAGATGGCTCGGTCTCCGCTCTTTTTCCCCCTGCGGATTCCGCCGCTTGCTCGTTTTTATTCAACGATAATGTCGGTTTAACGGCAAAGGCGTGGTCAAGCGGGTCCTCGGACGCCTCCCCGAGGAAGAGCCCCCTAACGAGCGGATCCGTTTAACGGGGGAAAATTCGACGACACTGCCTCTCCGGGCTTCCCCGGAATTGGATAACCCCTTCTCGTTTCCGACGTCTCTCCGACGTCTCCCAACGCCTCCCGAGGTCTGGGTCGAAAGGGAGTCGAGGTCGCGGGAGGTCTTTCCTCCGGTTCCAGGGAGCTGATCGAATTGCCGGTGTGCACCCGGGGACACCCTGCCTCTACCCGACCACGCCGTCGCAGGGATCATTAACGGCGTTAATCGATTAATTCCCGCACAACGAGTGCCCCGTTATTCCGTTTCCGCGATGCCGGTTGCGGGTCGCGCCGCATCCGCCGCCCCGGAGGTCGTTCGTCATTTTGTTAGCCCGGTGAATTAATTATCCCAGGGTATATACCGATCCTAGGGAATAACGCGATACGACCC